GAAGAGAAAGGCTCCGTGGACCAGACGCCGAGGGTCCTCCGAAGGCTCCGTGGCGAGCGAGGCTGAGCAGCAGCCAGCAGGGGAGGCAGTGGGGCCGAGCCACTGCCAGACGAGTAGGTACGGCGTGGGCTGCTCCTGCCCGGAGCGTCAGCTTGGGCTGCTGGCACAGATGTGGCCAGCATGGGCAGCGGGGTGCGCAGCAGCAGGGGGAAGCTGGCAGAGGTTTTCCGGAGAAGAGCCCCATCGGAGCCCAGCCCTGTGCATGGGGAGGTTTTGCCACACGCGCAGGGAGGCCAAGCCCCTGGGCCCTGAGACTGCCCGCCTCGGGAGGCTGAGGTGCGGTCCTGCCTGGCTGCGGGGAGGAGAGGGGTCGGGGGGGGAGGGGGACAGCAGCCTGTGCCCCCTCCCTGGAAGCCATGGAGAGCTGTCTGCTGAGGGGCAGGCTGGGGCCAGGGCCAGGGAGCAGGGAGGATGGGCTGAGAATCGTGCTGTGCTGCCGGTTGGGCCTCCCGAGGCGGGGGACTGCTGCTGCCAGCTCGCGGGCGCCCGGGGGAACCCTGCGAGCAGCCCAGCTGCGCTGCCCTCTCCTCTCTCGCTGCTGCTGCTGGGACTGTCCCCTGGCAAGGGCCTCCGCGCAGGCTACTGCTGCCGGCCCCGGCTCCCACGACGTGGCGACGGTGGGCAAGCAGCGTTTGTCTTTTTCCTCCCGCAGGAACCTCTGCGGGACATGGAGCTGGTGATGCGCTCTTCCAGGGCAACTGCCAGCTCAGCCGCTCCAGGGCCTTCCACATGGCCCAACAAGGCCAATGTGGCAATGAAATCAGCGGCAAAGAAATCAGCTGGAGTTTTTATTTTCTCCACTCTAGCTTCCTTTATTATGAAGCCCAGTAAGCAAGCGAGTGAGGAAGCAAAATAAGCAAAATAGCACAACTCCTTTTTAGCAGCCAAGAGCAGATATTTATAGCCACAGATGCGGGTCTGTGCTACGAGGCCAAATGCCATGTTTCCCTCCTTTCTCACACTCTCTAATCAGAGAGTTTGTTTTCTCACACAGTCATCCCTCGTGACTGTCTTCTGTCACAATCATCCGCCTGCTGCAGGCGGTTTTCCAGCCCCACCCTTTCATGCACTCCTGCATACAATGATTGTTGTCCCCTGTGGCCTGCTCAGATCTCTGTGTTCCCGCCATTACTCTTGATTAATCTTCCACAGGCTGTGTATAGCTCCTTCAGGCCACAGACATCGCAAGCAAGCTCAGCGCTGCTGCTTGCTGTCAAGTCCTCTGGGGTGAACGTGGAGAGCTGCGCTGTGCCAGAGCTCTGGCCGAATGTCACCAGTGGCAGGAGAAGTGCAGGCTGCCCTGCTCTTTGCCCCCAGGAGGGAGTGCGTGGGACTCGGTGCCCACCTCCCTGCGGGGACCGAAACACCCGTGCCTGGCCGTCCTAGCGAAGAGACCTCAACAGACAGGCCTAAAGCTTCTCTGCTTTCTTTGCCCAGGGACGCTCGGCCCTCTTCAGCCAGGCTGCCCATCGGGCAGGTGCCCTTGTCTCCCTGCTGAGACATCCGCTGACCAAGTACATCTTCGCCATGTACGTACCACATGTTTCTGCTGTGGACTGTGGAGAGAAAGGGGATGTAGGAGGGCCAGTGCAAGCAAAGGGGGGAGCACAGGGTTCTCCCCAGGTCTCACAAGAGACCCCGCAGGTCTGGGAGAAAAGCCAGACAAGGCTCCCACGCTTCCCAGCTGTGCGGAAAAACACCCCTGAGACAGATCTGTGTGATTGCAAGTGAGAACAGGCCTGTGGTCTGAGCCAACGAGGAGGAGGAGAAGGACGAGGAGGAGGAGGAGAAAGAGGAGGATGAGGATGAGGATGAGGATGAGGATGAGGATGAGGATGAGGATCAGGACAGGGAGGAAGACAAGGAGGAGGAGAAGGAGAAGACAAGGAGGAGGAGAAGGAGAAGAAAGAAGAGGAAGAGGAGGACGAGAAGGAAAAGGAAAAAGAGGACGAGGAGGAGAAGGAAGACAAGGATGAGGAGGAGGAGGAGGGAGACAAGAAGGAGAGGGAGGAGAAGGACAAGAAGGAGGAGGAGGAGGACGATGAGGACAAAGATGAGGAGGACAATGACAAAGAAGAGGAGGAGTAAGACGAGGAGAAAAAGGAGGAGGAGAAAGAGGAGGAGAAAAAGGAGGAGGACAAGGAGGAGGACAAGGAGGAGTATGAGGAGTAGGAGGACGAGCAGGAGGAGGAGGAGGTGGCAGAGGAAGACAAGTAGGAAAAGGAGGAGGAGGAGAACAAGGAAGAGGAGGATGAGAAAGAAAAGTAGGAGAAGGAGGAAGAGGAAGAGGAGGATGAGGACGAGGATGAGGAAGAGGACAAGGAGGATGAAGAAGACAGGGTGGACAAAGAGGACAAAGAAGCGGAGGAAGAGGAGGACGAGGACAAGGAGGAAGATGAGAAGGAGGAAGACAGGGAGGAGCAGGAGGAGAACGAGGACAAGGAGGAGGAGGAAGAGGAGGAAGAGGACAAGGAGGAGGAGGATGAGGACAAGGACGAGAAGGAGGTCAACAAGAAGAAGGAGGAGGAGGAGAAGAAGGAGGAGGATGACAATGACAAGGATGAGGAGGAAAAAGAGGAGGAAGACGAGAAGGAGGAGGAGAAGGACAAAAATGAGGAGGAGGAGAAGGAGCATGACGAGGAGGAGAAGTAGGAAGAGGAGGAGGAGGTGGACAAAGTTAAGAATCTTGACTAGGAGGAGGACGAGGAGGAGGTGGAGGAGAAGGGTGAGGAGGAGGAGGATGACGAGGAAGAGAAGGAGCAGGACAAGGATGAGGAGGAAAAGGAGGAGGAGGAGGAGGACGATGAGAAGGAGGAGAAGGAGGAGGAGTACGAGGAGGGCGAGGAGGACGAGGACAAGAAGGAAGACGAGGAAAAGGATAAGGAGGAAAATAAGGAGGAGGAAAATGGGGATGAAAAGGAGGAGGATGAGGAGAAGGAGGACGAGAAGGAGGAGAAAGAGGAGGAGGACAGGAAGGACGAGGAGGAGGAACAGGAGCAGGAAGAGTAGGAGAAGCAAGAGGAGGAGGAAGAGGAGGAGGAGGAGGTAGAGGCAGATGACGAGGACACGGACACAGAGAACACTGAGGAGGACAAGGAGGAGAAAGACAAGGATGGTGTCGAAGACAAGGAAGAGAAGGAGAATAAAGAGGAGGAAGAGTAGGAGGAGGAGGAAGAGGAAGATGAGGACGAGGACGAGGGGAACAAGGAGGACGAGGAGGAGGAGGAGACAGAGGAAGATGAGAAGGAGGAGGACTAGGAGGAGGAGGAAGAGGAATAAGAGAAGGAGGAGAACGAGGAGGACAAGGATGAACACGAGGGGGAGGAGGAGCAGAAGGATGAGGACGAGAAGGAGGATGAAAAGGATGAGCAGGAGGTAGAGGAAATGGTGGAGGAGGAGGATGAGGAGGATGAAGAGAAGGAGAAGGAAGAGGAGGAGGAAGATGAGGGAAAAGAAGAGGAGGAGGAGGATGACGAGGAAGACGAGGAGGATGAAAAGGAGGAGGAACAGAAGGAGGAGGAGAATGATCAGGAAGAGGATGAGGAGGAGGACGACAAAGAGGATGAGGAGGAGGATGAGGAGGAAGAGGAAGAGGAGGATGATGGGGAGGAGCAGGAGGAGGAAGAGGACGGGGATGAGGAAGAAGAGGAGGAGGAGGAGGTGGAGGAGGACAAGGATAAGGACAAGGAGGATGATAAGGAGAAGGACGAGGATAAGGAGCAGATAGAGGAGGAAGAAGAGGCGGATGAGGAGAATGAAGAGGAGGAGGAAGAAGAGAAGGAGGATGATAAGGAAGAGGAGGAGGAGGAGGACGTGGAGGACGAGGATGTGGACGAGGACAAGGAGGAGGAGGAGGAGGACGAGGAGGAGAAAGACAGGGACGATGATGAGGACAAGAAGGAGGAGGACGAAGAAAAGGAAGGGGAAGAGAAGGAGGAGGACAAGGAGGACGAGGTGGACGAGGAGCATGAGGAGGACGAGGAGGATGAGGAGGATGAGGACGAGCAAGATAAAGAGAAAGAGGATGAGGAGGATGAAGAGGACAAGCACGAGGACAAGGAGGAGGACGAGAAGCTAGACAAAAAGGAAGAGGAGGAGGAGGTGGAGGTGAAAGAGCAGGAGGAGGACAAGGACAAGTACGTGGAGGACAAGGAGGATGAGTAGAGTAAGTAAAAGGAGTAAGAGAAGGCCGAGGAGGACAAGGAAGAGGAGGAGGGCAAGGACGACGAGGAGGAGGACAAGGAGATAGACATGGAGGAAGAGGAGGAGGTGGAGGAGAAAGAGGAGGAGGACGACGAGGATGAAGACAAAAAGGACGAGGAGGAGGAGGACGAGGAGGTGCAGGAGGACCAGGAGGACGAGGAGGTGGAGGAGGATAAAGAGGAGGAGGAGGACAAAGACGAGGACATGGAAGACAAGGAGGACGAGTAGGGTAAGTAAGAGGAGTAAGAGAACGATGAGGACGACAAGGAAGAGGATGAGGACGAGGAGGAGAAAGAGGACGAGGAGAATGAGGAGGTGGAGTAGCAGCAGGAGGACGACAAGGAGGACGAGCAGCAGGATGAAGAGGAGGAGGAGGAGGAGGATGCTGGGGAGGAGCAGGAGTAGGACAAGGATAAAGACCAGGAGGAGGAGGAGGAGAAGGATGACAATGACCAGGATGAAAAGGAGGAGGATTAGGAGGACGAGAACGAGGATGAGAAGGATGATGATGAAGAACAGCAGGATAACGACGAGGGTGAGGAGGAGTGGAGGAGATGCAGGAGGACAAAGAGGAAGAGGAGGAGGATGAGAAGGAGGAGCAGGAGGAGGAGGAGGAGGAG